CCAATTGAGCATGTCTAGGACATGGTAGGCCTCCAGATTCGGGCACCACAAAATATCACAGATCTGGAGCGATAGCTGATGAACACCTAGCGGAATGTGTCACAGGATAACATTAGGAACCTCTACCACTTCTTCCCTCGACAAATTCAAGCATGCATTGTCGCCAGGAGCAGTTTGACCAACTACTAATTTGAACACTCATATCTGAAGAGATTTAGATTATCTAGTACAGACTTGTGTTCATGCAGTTTCGGGGGAGTGCAAAATGTCGAACATTTGTTGTTCTACTGTTCAAAGCTCAAGGAAGGACGAAAGGAACTCATTTCTAGGTTAAACTCTGTGAATATTACATTTCCTCCCCCTCTTCATGTATTTGTCCAACATAAAATGACTTTCTCTTTCTTCTGTAAATTTATCTCTTACGTATCACCTGTGAATTTTTAAGTTTATTTTATTTTGTGTTGTGTTGTTGTATTTGTTTTTTTTTTTTTTTTTTTTTTTTTTTTTTTTTTTTTTCCTTACCTCTGTAAGCCTTGTGTAATACTATGTGGTGCACAAGGATTTAAAATTTTCAAAAAAAAAAAAAAAAAAAAAAAGGTGATTGTGAGCTATGAACAGGTACTATGACCTTGATTTTTTAATCATTTTATTATTTGCGTATGAGCTATACATATATTCAATCTCATCAAAAACAACCACTTCCTTCATGGTGCTTCGATTTTTTTGCAAAAGAGTGTATAAAGTATGATTTTTAGAAGCCATGTTAAATTTCTTGAATAATGGCAATACTAGTCAAAAATTTTTGAAATATTTTTGCATAAAATTTGCTTTGTGGAGCATTGCAAGATCATGGGAGGATATGTCTCCAGATACTTTAAAAAATGCTTGGCATAATTTATGGCGAGCTACCATATTTCATGGTGAGGATGATGGTCATAGCCACGCATTAGAAGGCTTTTGGATATCACAAACCACAGGTGAAATTTACCAATTAATGGATTTCATAAGATGTACATTATTTACAGCTTAAGAGTACTTTCTGCGTGTACTTAGTATACTCGCAAATAAACTGGGTCAAACCACTCGCAAATAAACTGCGTCATCAACTTCTCCTAGCTTCCCCCACGCCAACATCCATGCTGCTTTGCTTGTCCATTTAAAATGATATTGCCCCATTAACCTCTGTATATAAGAAATTACTGCAATTGTTTGTGATCAAAAAATATATTGTCTATGAAGAATTATTCTAATGTGCCTGGAAATAGAGATGGTAATTAGCTGAACTTGCTTTGGTATCAACATCTTCGTCCCATCTTGTCGCTCTGCTATCACGACTATACATAAAAAATACTGCATCTATATTTCATACATGGTGTGCGCATATATATATATATACAGTCAAAAGTCGATAATCCGGACTCGTCGGGACTTCGGCGATTCTAGATTATTGATTTTTCCGGATTATAGATCATCAGTTTAAATCTCGTAAGATAGCATGCAGAAATTCTAAAATTAAAAATATGAAACCGTAATTTATGAAATAAAGAACAATTATAATCTAAAGGGTATCAAAATTTAAAAAAAAAAAAGCTTAATATTTATTTGTTTACTTTATTAAACATTTCTTTCAATGTAAGTTGTTTAAGTTGCTTCGTTTTATGTGATAATACTTTCTCTTTAATTCTATAAACAGACATAATTTCTTGTTTGGTTACAAAGTTCCGCTGTTCAAGTCTTGTTAATTGCTGTGCCGAGAATACCGACAAACTTGTCAATCGAAATTTTTTCGTTTTCACTAACCTCTCTGTCACATTCTTCATGTCTTTATCCATTTTTTGCAGCAATTCCCCTTTTTGTTTGATGGACATCGAAACATACTTTCGTTTTGTACGATCCTTTGGGAGCTCCAGAATCGGAAATTCTATTTGACATAATCAAAAGTTCAAGTTTACTTTGATAAAATTCCTCTTACAGTCTGCAAAAAATAATAAGCCGGATCCAATTCGAAGATTAAGGAACAACGCATTCATCAACATTAACTGAAATACATAATTAGATAATTTTAGCTTATACCGTCCATTATACATAAAACGCGCATGCAAAAACATTTTCTGTGCTTGCGCGCACGCATATGCGGAGTCGTAAAAGGTCTTACGCGCACGCGTAAACGCCTATGTGCATGTGTCAACGCGGCGCATGCGCAGAAAGGTTTTAGCTTTGAGGTCCGGATTATGGGTGTCCGAATTAACGACTTTTGACTGTATACACTTTGTTGCAAATATATATATATATATGCACCCAAAAAGAATTAAGCCACAACTAGAAAACCTGACAGTAGCTATAATGTTCAAGTACATAAACAAATTATCAAAAACTAGGGTAAGAAAACCATTTTATTTACGAGTAGCACTACAAAAGATGTGAAAATTAGTAGGTGGTAAAAGCTACGCCTAACAGATATACAAGCCGATACTCAGTTGGGCATGGAGTCTAATTAACCCTCCGAGAGTTATGAGTTTAATGCTGAAATTTTGAAAGTTAATTACAATGTCAAAAATGGCAGAAATTTTTTTGTGTAATGAATGAATAAAAAAGCCACCCTTCAATATGGAATTTTACGTTCGTAACACTGAGAAGCATAAGTTGCCAGTATCCCCTCTGCAGTAGATTGTGCTACAAATGAAGCAAATAGTCAGCAAGTTGGGATGTATTTGTATGCATTTGCCTGCCCAATATGGCCCAAACATGTTTGAAATGGTGACATGTTTAGAAACCTGGCAGGCCAGTCAAAGGCATTGAAGATATTGTCGGGAAAGTCGTGCTATATGTGGCTCAGTGTCCTCCTGGAAAATAAAAGCTGGATAACCTGTTAACATAGGCAGTACAGTTGGCTGCAAAATGTCATCAACATGCTTGGAAACAGAATACCTCACAGACAATTAATGGTGAATAGCTAGCCGTCCCAGCTAATCGCATCCCAGACTGTCACACCCTATGTTCTGGCTGTGTGCCGCTCACTAACAAATGATACACTGGACCTCTCACTTCTCCATCTCCAGACATGTATGCGGCAGTCATCAGTATCGAGAGAAAAGCCTGATTCATCACTGCATCATTGCTCCAATTGGACACTGTACAGCTTGGGTTGCACAAAATGATTTTCATGAAAGCTTTAATTCAAACTGATGATGCTTTAGCATTGATTAAATGATTTTTAATTGAATTTAATTTGATATTATCTTAATACACTTATACATAAATGCATAAATTAATAAAAATTACACTCTTTAATCAAATCATTTAATTTACAAATTAAAATTTAGCCCAAGATTTTGCAGTTAATCCAGATATAATTTTAATATGTGGCTCTTAGTAATTCTCTTAGCTGATCCTTCAAAAAGACCAAAAGGAAAATCAACTTAATTATATCATTTTGTTTATATTTTAATTTTACATTTAATTCCATGCTTAATTTCCTAATTTTATGCATTATGTATGATGTTTGCTTTCTTCACATTAGGTAGCTTATCACCCCTTTTTAGATTAAAATTAAAATTTGTTTTCATATATACATGTACATATATAAAATGTGTATCTATCTACTATAGAAAATGCAATACAGGAATGTGAATATTACCCTAAGTACTCTAAAAGCTACAATCCAAATTAAAGATAATTAAAAATTTAAGGGCAAAACGTCCTAGCAAAAGATGATAAAATATTTTAATATTCCTAATGCTTTCATATTTACAACTGTTATTACTTAGCTCTCAAATTACCTTCTAAAAAGTTTAATATTGGAAACACTGAAAATGTTACATCATTGTTTTCTGGAGCTTCATGAATTTAAGATTAAGAATCACACTTAATGCATCTAGGAAAAACCTTTCTCTAAATTTTGCTATTAAGGCTACTAACTTTCATTTCTTTTTGAGCATCATTAAACAGATTTTTAAAAAATATGTGAATTTTTATATTATGAATGAAATATATGAATATTTTATAAAGATATATGAATAATCTGAAATCAAAATGTTTGCCTCTTCCATTTCAGGTCCAAAAGTTATTGATCTGATTAAACAGAGGAAAAAAGCAACATTATACATTACAAAACAGAAAAGTAAATTCCTTCCTATTTTCAACATTTTGTGGCATTTCGAAATTTTATAATATGGTTTGATTTTTTTATGTAACACATGGTAAGTCACAAAAACACCCGTTCAGCCAGTCTGTTCACTGGGACTTGAACCCAGGATGAACAACAAGTGTTCAGAAGCTTTATTACTAGGCCACTGGTGAAAAATGACAGCAATTGGCAAAACTCATAAATCTTTTTTATAAAATATAATATTACATTTAAATACCTTAAACATTCCCCAAATTCATAAAAGCAGCCGTGTGCTTTACTAATTTTAATTTTATTTACTAATGCATTTAAAAGTGTAGACATTTTACTTACATGTTGCAAAATTATCGCTGTATATCTAGAGCTGTTATTTTTCATCTCAACATGTATTACCATTTTATTTAATTTAAAAGATAGCATTTTACTCTTAAATATGTTACTTTGCATTAAAATATTTAATTTTTATGTTTTGGTACACTTTAAAAGCTAAATAAGATTATAAATTATTCAATAAAAGCTATTTCTGTGTTTACTACTTTTAATATTAAAATTTTATAATATGATTCCTTTTTGAGACTGCTTATTTATGCTTAATACTCTGATAGTTCACATTTAATATTTATCATTAAATAATAGTAAGATATCATTCAATCTATCATCATTCAGTCCAGAAGTACTATTAATATATGCAAAAAATATATAATTAGTTCGATTAATATATATGAAGGGAAAAGACACACTTTAAATGATTTTAATAGTTACGTTACAAGAACAATATAAATTTAGTAAATACCAAATATAATAACATACCTTTGCAGATGTAAATCTTGTAGGTGGATAGACAATGAAATGTCTTAAAGTAAAACCAAAGCCGTTTTTATCTTTAACCAAAGTTACAGTGCGAGGACGGAATTTGTCATCTATATCATTGGTGTATCTTCTGCAGCTAGCATGAATGTTTGAGGAGTCCTAAATGAATAAAAACGCGAAAAAAATAACAGAAATTTAAAAATTAATTTCTTGCATTACAAAAATAACAACATAAAGCTCATAATGAAAAATTAAAACTTTAGATGGAATTCATTAAAAAAGCATACATTATCTATCATCCATACAGGAAAATGAAAATTTTTAACAGTAACACTTTCATAGTAATGCAATTTTGATTGCATTAGTGACATTTTGATAGTAATACAATTTTGATTACAATAGTAACATTTTGAATAACATTTTATATTACTATTAATAACTTTTAAATGTAATGTTTAAATGTTTCTAATTAAGAGAAAATTATTTCTCATTAATACGAAATTAATTAACTATAAAAGTCCTAAGCAAGTTTTGCTTCTCATAAGCACAAAAGTAAGTACATTACTTATAAAAATCCCAAAAATATAAGTTTTGCAACAAAACTGTATAAGCTTTTTTAAAACTGCAATTCAAAGATCATTATTTTCTTTCAAAAATTCTGTTACTTTAAATGTAAATTATTAAGCATGTTAATAAACAAAGAAATTTTTTAAATGCTGTTCATTTTCCTATAAGCTAAAACCTGCAGATACTTACACTAGAGTTGCCAACATTTTCTTTGAGAAGGCAGTCAAAATATGGTAAATTTTGATATGATATTATGACTATAACCAATGAATAAAAAGTCCTTAAAACAGTTTCATTACATCAAACCTACTAAAAAACAACTATACTATACACTTCCTTTTTAAAAACCATATTTATTTACAGTAAAAGCCCAACCATAGAGCATACAACGAATCTGAAAGTTCAAATAACCAAAACACTGCAGAATTTTAGAAAAAAAAAAAAAAAAAAATTCTCTGAAAAATTTAACGAGAGAGAGATTTGTAATGCCGTTACAGGGCTTGTAACACTATTAATACATATACGCTATTACCAAACAGTGTGATTTAGTGCCAATATGAATAAGCATGATATCATAACACAATCATAAGAAGTTCGTGTTAGTTTAACATTTATTCTCCATAAGCCAATTAAATTTTTTAAGGAAGAATAAAAGTTCTAGTTTTCCCTTGCATTTGAAAATATGATTAATATTTTTAAAGTTACAGGAACCAGGTATCAAAAAAATTGCAATGTGCAACTTTGAAAACAGATAAAAATTGGCAGTGTATCATGAAAAATTATGATAAGCAATTCAAGTTTTTTTTATATGCTATATCTACAATTTGTACCTCTTTATTATCTGTCTTAATACACGACGATATGTTCGTTTACACTTCTGATGGAATGATTGGTGACATCTCAACCAACTTTCATGTTCAGCAGCATTTCATAATTGGATCACATATTTTACTTTCACGTTTAAAGCCTATGAATTATGTGGACTTTTATTACTGAAAAGCATTCCCTCCCACTAAAAAAAAAAATTAATCATATCTAATTTTAAATCTTTTGATATTCAAACTTTTAATTCATAATAAAAAAGGGTACTTTTCTGTTATCAGGACTGGATTCAAAAATATGTGTATATATGTATGTGTGCAAGTACATGAGTGCACATGCACACACAAACACATGCAACCACACATACATATACACATTTCCCTGACTTATAGTGGTAAGGGGAGCCGATTTGCACTACCAAAGGGCCCAGGGTTCGAATCCCAGAGAAGGCATACTTGTAACTGTCCATCCCCTTCATAGGAGGCAATGGTGGCCCACCTATTAGGTGCCTCCCTAATAAAGTGACCACCAATTCATGCCTTAGAATTGGTTAAGTTGAAGTCAGCTGAGGGCCCACCACTGGGCAGAAAACATTTCTGAATCTGGTCCTGATAACAGAAAAAGTACCCAAATAAGATCCTTCTTTTTATAATTTTAGAATGGAAATTTTCCTCATTGGCTTTTCTAATCTGAATTTTGCTTTTATAGGCTCAACTTTCTTGAATTTTCACATATCCAGAATTCGGCAATTTCTGAGCTTTCCAGATAGTCAAGCTTTTACTGTACTGAAAGGGACTCCATCCTCAACTTACAAATTCTCCCCATCTCCTGATGACACTTTCTGTGCATCCTCTTAGTTGCACTAGTTCTGCCTCTTAAAAAATGGAATAAAAAAATTGGGTAGACTACTACTAAGAACTCAATGGCAATCCTGCATTTATTACATATTGAAATTTATATAATTTAAAATCTACATTACGAAAAGATAGAGGAATTTGTCTAAGATTTGTTGAGCATTCGCAACAAATTATTTAAATTTTATGCTTTCTAAAAGCTCACCATGTTAAGCAACTGGAAGCAGAAGTTAGACTAAACTCATCTGCACATATCGTAATATCCCCCAAAAAAAATGTTTTTTTGGAGAAGGGGTATCTCTGGTAAAGAACCACCCTTTTTTTAAAAAAAAATCAGACTATTAAAGAAAATGGCCAGATATGTGATTACCCTTACACTTCTGAAAAACTGTATTTGACTGCACTTAAAATTTTTTCTGAATGCATCACTGCCATTAGGTTTCACTTCTCTCCCAGAGGGGAAAAGGGGAAAAAAAGCTCATAATTTTATTTTATACAACCCTTCAGAACTTATTTTGCCTAATAGCATACAACTTGGATAGTTATTAGTTACGTATCAATCTCAACAGGTACTCAATCACTGGCTGAAATAATAAAAGATTTAATATTTTGAAAATGAAAAAAAAAGTTTCATAAAAGGGAGCACATTGTAATTACTGCTTTTTCCATTTGCAGATAATAATACTTTTATTTTCAAGAAAAATCATGCGTTCAGTATTAGTAATTTAAAAAAGAAAAATCTATGCAAAAGTAAAGCTTAGTTTTTATGTTTACAATAAAAAAGAGAACTATTTCCATTTGCAAAAACTGAGGAATGTCAAGTAAATTCAGGAGCTACTGACTAGTGAACTGGTATAAAAAAAATTAAATTTTTTGTTATGCAGAGGTATTTTTGACAACAGTTTGAAGTTTTAATTATTCTTTATATAATTTATAAACTCCTTGCCTGTACTCAAATAAATGCTTAACTTCAACTCATCTTCTAACAGATCATTTATTATTTATCAAAGAAAGTTATGTATTCTGTCTGAGCACTCTATGCTGACATAGTGAGAACAAAACTAACAATTTTCTTATTCTCTAACTTTAAACTCCTGTGGATTTCATCTCAGTGATCACAGATATTCACTTTTGCAGATACTCCATGGTTACCAACAATATAAAACTTCATACTTATTATTTCTCACAAAGAATAAATTTCATTGCAAAAATTGTTCTGTTTATGTCAAACTGAATATGAATAAGAATGTTTTAAAATTCTTTATGATTTATTTTTCAAACATACAGCCAATAAGAAATAAGCTATGATATTATAGAAGAGTTTGATATTTTTGCAATGCACAGTTCAAAAAATGCATCAAATTCAAAATTATTTTAGATTTTTTCTTGAATGGTTCAGTTTAATTTATTCAAGACTTCATATGTACTACTTCCAAAAAACCTACCCTCTTTGCTTTACAAATTCAATCATCAGTGCTTCAATGTTTTAAATGATCTCATGATAATTAAATCCAATACCTTAATATATTTTGCTGTTTCTATAAGAATACCAATGTGCAATATATTTAAGCTGCTGAAAAATTATCAGTAAAGACTGTAATTTAGAACTAATTTTTCACAAAGACCTAAAACTGAAATTCATAATTAAAAAATTTCAAATAATCTATTAAATATTACAGAGAGAATTCTATTTTTCTCTTTATTTAAGATTCAAGATTCTAATTAGAATTTACTTTTGTTTTTTACTTGCTTTGGGAAAGGGCCAGAATTTCCGGGTGAACTATTATAATTAAAATACACTGAAATGGTTCATCAGCTAATTCTGGATACAAAAAAGAAAGGATTTTTATAGAAGAGAGATTTCAACTGATTTTAATGTTCCTACCCCCCCTGAACGACTGACATTGAAGTTGATTGAATTCCTCTGCTGTCATGTTTATTTTTCTTTAAATTTCATTATTTTTTAATTGGGGTAATGCTTGTTTGAAAAGTTTTGGTTTTAAAATTTTTAAATTCTTTGTAACTTTTAATGCATTATTTGAAATTTATTAATTATGAATTTCAATTTGTAAAAAATTAGTTCTAAATTTCTTACTTTATGTGATATATATATATATATATATATCCAAGAGGAATGTTAAAAGGCTAATGCTAAAAAATACATTTGACACTATAGTTCCTTAGCAAAATTGTCAAATCATGTAACAGCTAGAAATAATAATAAAATAGTAAAAGCTATCTCATAAAAACTAAATGTAAAAATTACAAATCGATATTACAATATATATATACACATATTGCACATTACACACACACACATACATATAAAACATTTCCTCATGCAACCCCCCCCCCCAGCTTTTTAGTGCAAGGTTCTGAAAATTTTAAAAATATTTGCGTTAAATTTTCTTCTTCCTCAATGCATTCAGAGAATAAGCTCCATTAAATTTTAAAAAGGATTCCTCCACACAGCAATTGTTTTCATCTTACTACCAAAGACAAATTTTCATAAACTATCTGCGAAGGTCATGTCAAACCTTAAAATATGTAAGCAAACTTCTAAATTTATTTCTCTATAACCTATTTAATTTTTTATTTCATTTGGAAACTTTATCGCTCTGTCCTAAAAGTAGCGCTGTAAGTCTAAACAGCATCATTCTAATTAATCATGTTATCTTTCGTAACCCTTAATGCAAATGCCTCTTGACCAATCACCAAATGGTTAAGCAAACTAAAAACTGAAACTATTGACTCCCTCCCTTTTTTTCTATGAACTGATGCATCACTTTTGCTTGTGCTTCTCTTGGCCAGATGTCTTTCTGCAATTAAAAGTGTGTGCTGCTACTTTTGCTTCTATAGCAATAATATCAAAATTGAAAATGTTCTTTAATAGGCACAAGTGGAGTGTCAAGTGAA